GGAAGGATTAGAATAAGTAAACAAATAACATAAAATCGTATTTTAGGAGAAAATGCATGGTTTTTACAATGTCAAAATGTTCCTCATCATGTAGAGACAAATCTAACATGTCCAAGTAATATTTTTCTAAAGACAACAAATGAAAACTAATTATGACTTAGTCTTAAGGTTATATAGCATGCAAAGATGTTTTAAGGGGATTTTAAAAAACACTATGTTAAGTTGGGCACGAGACGGTGTGCCTTCAATCACAGCACTCTGAGAAATTGAGGCAGGGGGATTCCAAGTTCAAGCTCAGCCTGGGGAATTTAGCAACTTAGATTTTTCTCTCACGATTAAAATTAAAAAAGGACTGAGGATATAGCTCAGTGTGAAGGCCCTGGGCTTAATCCCTAGCATGGGGAAACAAAAGCATTATGTCATAGTTTAGTTTACAGCATTGTTTTTTTCTTTAGTGGAGTATAAAATAATAGTTATCTTGAATCAGTGAGGGAAATAAAGATATTGGGTAGGGTTTATTATAGAATGAATTTTTACCCTTAAGATTCTGATCATTGTTCACCTCATTATAGCAATACCTGAAACATTTTAGAATTTCATTACTTATTCAGAATAAATAAGATAAAATTGCTGCGTGGTACATTATCCTGACTGAAAGGTTCTTGTTAATATCAGTCACTTAATTTGGGGGAAATGAAGAAATTATGACATTTTAGGGCTATAAAAATTCAAATAATCAATGTAGATATTTTTGTACCTATATTTGGAAATTTGATAAAAGGCAATCTCTAATGTCTCTTAATATATTTAAGATGCTTCTATTGTTTGAATATGGTCCGTCTTCCCCAGATTCATGTCCTGGAAGCTTGATCTCCAGTGGTGGTACTGAAAAATGGTGTTGAAAGGTGGCAGAACCTTTAAGAGGTGTGGCCTAGTGGAAGAAGATTAAATCCTGGGTGTTCCACCCTCTTAAATGGATTAACACTGTCCATTAAGAGTGACTCAGGTCTCATGGGACTGTATCAGTTCCCTCAAGAGTGAGTTATAAATGAGCACAGCACTACATCCCTCTTCTTTACGCTCTGCTCACCATTGTCACATATTCTCCAACCATCATGATGTCATTCACTCTGAGGTCCTCACTAGAACCAACTAGATGTCAGTCCCATGCTCTTTCGCTTCCAGAGCACCGAGCTATCTTCTTTTGTTTACAAAATACCCAGCCTCAGGTGTTTTGTTATAGCAATACAAAATGGGCTAAGACAGATGCCATGATTTTAGGTTTACCATGTTGTATCTTGAAAATAGCAATTACAATTTTTAAAAAGTGCTTTATATTCCTTTCTGCATGAAAACTTCCTGACTCTTAAATATTTATTCAATTAAATTTATAAAATAAGAATAATAAGTGCAGAATATTAGTTTTCAAGTGATTGCATGTGGATTACTTCATTTGGTGCTAAAAATTGAGCAAAGTGTCCAGAGAAGTAGTTATTGTTCTGAGAAGTTAGCTGACCAACCTAGAGTAACAGCACTTTGCAGGGAGAGCCAGAAGTGGAACTGAGATTTTTTTCTAACTCTGGTGGAAGTGAGTTTGGTGCCTGACTTTTTCCCAGGGAAGCATGATGGAAACAGCACTTTTCCTTCTCCCCCAACAGCAGTCAATGCAACCCCCACAGTGTCTTGGCCTTGAATTAAAATGGCAACAGAAAGCAAAAGAAAGCAAGTTTAATAGAGAACTGATCTTAAAGTTAACTTTTCAGAGTGAAATATTATATACCATTCACTATATTGTCTACATAATTGTCGATATAAGTGGTTCAGAGTTATCAAGCATAGAAGAAAGAAAGAACAATTGAGCCAAAAGGCATAGTGAATGAAAAGACACAGAAATAAGAGAGAATGGAGTGCTTCATGGGAAGAGTGCAGGAGTCTGCAGCTACAACAAAGGATGATGAGTTTGAGGAGAAAGACTGGGATAAGACTAAGAAGCAGGTAGCCTAGGATTCTGGAAACACTGGAAGGAATGTTTGAATTTCACTTTTCAAGTCACTGCAGGAGTTTGAATTTCACTTTTTCAAACTTCTTTGTCAAAGAATATAGAAAGAAATATTTTTTTTGGTACCAGGGATTGAACTCAGGACCTTGCGCTTGCAACAAGGCAGGCGCTGAAATCATGGAGCTAAATCCCGGCTATGCAAAGAAATTTTTAACTGTTAACTGTGTTGCAATTATATGATTTTTATTTCTTATCATGGTGTTAGTGAGTTTCAGTTCATTTTATTAAAGTAATGCATTTTGTGCATAACTGGTCACATATGGTTTAAAAGGTTTGCTGTGTCTTTCATTGTGAGAATGGTTAGTGGAGTTTAGGTCAAGCCCTTCCAGTACAATTGAGAAAATAGTGAATGCTGTGGATCTCAATTTTTATTTCATACAAGCAGGATGAGTCCTTCATCTAAGTGAAGTCTTCATGTTAGCACCTTTGCTTTGCAACATACATGACAGGTGCTGTTTATGGCCAGTAAGGAACAAGGGATATTTAAGGTAAGTGACTGCCCAGAGAGAAATTAAATGAAATGAACAAGGCCAGAGAAGGGCATTAACTTTGCTGAGCTTTAACTGTGTGGCTTACACTGCGCTAAGTGCCTCATATTACCTCATTTAAGCCCCATAAGGGCCCTGTCCAGTGGATATGATTTCCTCCATTTTCTGGATAAGTTGCCTGAGATCAAAGAAGAATGTAAAATGTTTCTGAAATGTCAAAACAGAATTCTATTTGTTAATTCTGAAAGTATTAAGTCATTGAAGACTTGATCATCTAAATTAGATCCAAAGAGAATATGACATCTAGTTTAAGGGTTTCCCCTCCTTTTAAAGAACTAGTTCTATATTTTAAAAGAACAATTTTATATTTGGAAGAAAATAATTTGAATTTATGGACTCTGATGATCAACTCTTACTACATAAATTTGGGAGCATATCCTCTTTGTATTCATGCTCTCACTGGCAAATCAAATGGCTACCTCAGGTTGATGCATTCTGGTGAGGGACCTCAGTTGGGACAGGACCTCAGGCTCTTCGCCTACAAAATGCCATGAACAGGATTCAAAATTTAAGATTTGATCCAAATGGTCCAGCAGTCAGTAATTACTTCATTGCCCCTCCCTGGTAGCAATAAGTTCTTCTCCCTTTCCCTCTCCTTCTGCCTAATTTATTTGAAATTATGTGCCACTTTGTATATTCTTTAACAAATAGTCCTTTAAAAAACTCTTTCTACACATAAAAAGTATGTGTGATTAATTTCTAGATTGTTCTTGGTATAAATTTGCTATTACTACTTTATTTGTATTAACACAGTATCAAATAACATGAAATTTTATTACTTGTCTTCTTAACTACACATATCAGAGAAAGAGAGATGACAGCAACTGAATGGTTTGGAACAAGATTTTGATTTGCTTATACCAATAATCATAGTTAATTAGAAATATGAAACACTTCCATTATCCACAGTTTCACTGCCACTCTGTTATAGTAAACTAGAAACCTGGCTCAGGCATCCCCCCTCTGTAGACTTTCTGATCAAACAGTGCCATGTTTGAGCTCAGAGTCTAAGGCCACTTCTTTTGCCCCTTTTGCTTGGATTTTCCGAAGTGTCTCAGTTCCTAATTCCACACTGCTATTATGTGGATCAAATAATCCCTGGCCACAAAAATACTCTGGGGAGTGACTCCCCTGGCGTCCAGGTTATGAGTGTGGTCAGTCATTCCACATGCCTTAGGGATGAGCTATCTTTGCCATGATAAGAGATTTCCTTTTCAAGTTTTGTTATCTCCCACTACAAAATACTGTGAAAAATAAAAACCACTGTAATGAAGAAAACATATATTGAAATCTTAACGTAGCACTGAAGTTAGGTACCTTTCCTCCTGCCTTTTAAAAAATGGTTACTGACTTAAAATAGAAGAAATTTTTACAATATAGTCTTAGAATTATGAATATCTCCTAGAATGACTTCTTCAGTGCAACCATAATCGGATATTTTAAACTGTGCTTTTGCCACATACACATTAGAAACTAAAACTAATGTTTTAGTTTCCTTTTGTGTGGTTCATTGTATTACAAAACTCCTTAGAGAAAAAAATTAAAGATGATTCTGTAAGCCTTTTTCTTTCCAATCTCTCATTACCCTGTGTACAGTGAAATTATAGTTTTTAGGCAACGGAAGTCATTTTATGATAGTGGTTTTCAGAGGTGGAGATTGCAGAGTGTGGCTAAGTCAGTCCCAGTCTCTGGGTCTGTGCAAACCGGGACCCAGAGCTCCCAGATTCCCGGCGCTCTCTGAGATCCAGGCCTTGGCGACCTGAGAGCAAAGGGACCCGCTGGGCTGGGAAATGCCGGCTGGTGCGGTTCCAGGCAGAGGACGGGCTCTTGGCGGAGAACGGAGTCAGAGAGCCTGCACGCCTGGCCTCTTTCTTTCCATCCTTTGTTCCTAGGATTTTACAAGTAAGGCTCAGGCAAACAGACGTTATTTCCAGCCACTCTACCCGGTAACCGGATCGGAGTAACGAAATCAACTTGCAGAAGCGTCCAGACACTGCAGCCAGACCGCCAGCCTGCAGTAAAAGTAACTTCTCTGGGCTTCTGCAAGAGCCGCGGGGATGCAGATTTTAGTTCGTGGCTAAGCACAGCTACGACACCGCCCCCTCGCCCCCTCCCCGACTCCCCCAAAAGCATGGAAGAAGGAGGCAGGGAGGTCGAGGAGAATGCAGCCCGCGCTTGCGCTCGGTGGCGCCCACTGCAAAGCTCTGCAGCTTTGGGAGCCCGGAGGGAGCGATGGCAGGGCCCCAAGCCAGGGTTCCTGGGAAGGGGCAGGGGGGCCCTGCCACCCCACGCCGACAGCTGTCCAGCCTCTGTAATTCATTGGCTCCCCCCACCCCGCCATCCAAATACCACCCCGATCCAATTTAGCCCCCCGCCCCACCCTGGCTGACCTAATAAGGCCATGCAGTGTGCGGGGTACCTGTATAAAAGAAACGGGCTGAAGGGACACTGCATAACTGGAGGAGAGAAGGCAGGAGCCGTCCGTGCAGCGCCGGGAAAGACCACCATGGCCAAGGAGTGGGGCTACGCCAGCCACAATGGTGAGTGCGGGCAGCGGCGCCCCCCGTCCAGGGCACTGCACAGAAAGTAGGCCACCGGGAATGCACTGAAAATATAGGTGCCGAGTGAGGTAAGAACTAACATTAATTGTGCCAAATGCTACTGATCCTTTTGTCTTTAAACCATGTCGTTCTCCCTCCGATGGAGTGACTTTGTTTCCCTTGGAAGAAACTGAAGTGCAGATAAGTTTAGTGACTTGCCTAGTATCACACTGTCTGACTGAGAAGTCAGATAACCTGAGATCCAGGCTGATGGTCCTTTACTGTGATACTAGGGAAAGCACTTAGCCCCTCTGAGTCTGGTGTTGGTATAAGAATCTTATTCTGCCTACCCCTCTGTTAAACCTATGGGAAAAGAAACACCTGTGTGCTCTGGAAACCACAAAGTGATGCATATGTGGTCAATGAATGAAGACCCTTTCAAGCCATATTCCTGAGCCAGCAGAGTAAATACACAGAATGAAATACCAGCAACAAAACTATGAAAAAGTCTTAAATGCTGTCTTGTGCTGCCCAATCTGAACCCAAGACCATTTCTTAAATCATAGTCTGTGTATTTTGCTGGTTGTCCTTTAGAGAATGGCCTTGGGTTATATCACCAAATAAATAAATTCTCTCAACTTTATTTCCTAGGTCCTGACCACTGGCATGAACTTTACCCAATTGCCAAAGGGGACAATCAGTCTCCCATTGAGCTGCATACTAAAGACATCAAATATGACCCTTCTCTGAAGCCATGGTCAGCATCTTACGACCCTGGCTCTGCCAAGACCATCCTGAACAATGGGAAGACCTGCAGAGTTGTGTTTGATGACACTTATGACAGGTCAAGTAAGTATAACACTTAGGGAGGGGGCCCTAGATATTTCCCACGTCTGTACTGGCAAAAGTGTGATTACAGACCCAGCAACAACATTAGTGGGAAGAGGGAGCATTTCATCCCTGAAAATAGAGATGATATTCTTCTCTGCTTTAGCTGTAAAGAAACATATTTGTATATTGAAGAGGAATGTCTCACCCTCTAATTTTGGTCACTTTGTTGCTGCAAAATGGTCCTATGCCCAGACCAAAAGTTGGCAATGCATTCTTGAAATGGAGCTTGATGGGATGATGTTGGCAATGAACCCAAGTTAGTGTTCTTCCCTCACTGCTGGCCAGTAACTAAGGATTCAGTCCTGCCCTCTGCAACCAGATCCAGAGAGTGAGGATCCCACTCGCAAGCAGGCACAGATTCCATTCTACAAAGCAAGGAATAAAGTAAAGAAATACAATAGGCACTGTCTTCTCCTAGGGCCTGGAAAGAGGCCAGTCCAAGGGATAGAACAGGGCCATTACATGGGTCCTGATGACTCGGCTTCCTGTATCCCTGGGGTTTATCTGACTGATCCTTCTGGTGAGTGTTTTTGAAGTAGCTGAACATTTCTTCAGCACTATTTATGTGAAAAAGCAAGTTGTTTTTAAACCTACACTAGTAAACAAATCGGTGAAAACTTTAAAAGGCTAATTAGAAATGCTTTATTTCACCGTGAATGAGGTAAGAAAGAATCTTCTTTTGAGGACTTGATGGTGTACAGAACCCAACTTCCTTTAACCTTGTTTTGAATGGAGTTAAAATTATTCTTATCAATAGACATAAATGAATATTCATAATTATGTTGTAGTAAAGAATGTGAGACTCATAACTCCTACCTACTGGAAGATTCCAAGTAAGGAATATGATATAATGTTATATTTTCTTAATGCTTTTACACTGTTATTCCCCTTCCAACCATTTAAATCAAGCTCCATTTTGAAGGAGAAAAAACAAAATGAAACAATATTATTAGGTTAAGCCACATAAAAATGTTATTTTTTGTAACAAAAATAGTTGATTATTTAAATTCTTATAATTTATTCTAACAAATTAGACTCATATTTCCAGATACTAACTATTCCAAATGATTGGACAGCAAAAATATGAGAAACCACTTAATTCCTTCATGGCCAAACTCATACAGGCCTAGCATTATTGTTTTAAAGATACACTATCCCTTCCTGTATTACTTATTAGGGTAGACAATCCTTTCCAAAATAACTACCTTGCATTCTATTTTGGTTATATTGTTGAATCTTGATTTTAGTGTTTCTGCAGTTTCCAATATCCTTTTGAAGATATTTGAGCCTCTAAATTACTACCTAGGTTAAATGAATTTAAATCAAATTGACTGATTAAGATATTTATACAATAAACCCAAATTAATGCTATTGAGAATTATTAAGTTTTGTAGTCTGCATTGATTGATTTCCTGGGAAATTTTCAAATTTCCATTTCATCTGATTTGAATAGGGACACTCTAAATTAGAAGTAGATCAAAGCTCTTACTTGTCATCCTAAAGACAAAAACATAGTTGAAAAGCAAGACATGGCAAAGGAATTCATGTTTGTACAGCGCTTACCGTGCAGGCACTATGATGAGTACTATTAAGGTGCTTAATCTCCGTTAATCCTCACAGCAGCTCTGCAAGTGTGGAATTATTATCACCTTCTTAGAGATGCAAAAACATTCAGAGAAGTTTAGCAACTTGCCTGAGATCACACATGTATTGAGGGGTGGAGCCAGGATTGGAACCTAAAACTGTCTGCCCCTTCATAGTTTGGTTCTTCCCACTGCACCACTACTGACCCATTGTTTGGGTGTGTGCATCCCTGTTGTTCACTTTCATAAGTGTTAAAATCACATTTCAATAATAATAAAACAAGCCAACTAAGTAAAAAAGACAGAAAATGCATTGATTTTGATATATCCTAAGTCTTCATTTTTGGAGGGGTCCCGTGTGCTTGGGGAGGGCTCTGCCTTCCCAGCTGACCATCTATACCCTTCTCCCATCAAAAGCACCTGTTTCAAGTAATATAGCTCTCTGTAAAGGGAGTGCAAACTCACTGGCCTTGCTTATCATCACAGTGCTGAGAGGTGGTCCTCTTTCTGACCCCTACCGACTTCGCCAGTTTCATCTTCACTGGGGCTCCTCTGATGATCACGGCTCTGAGCACATGGTGGATGGAGTCAAGTATGCAGCAGAGGTAGGAGGAACTGCTGTCACCCACTCTGCATATCCCATGGTGAAAACTGAAAAACTGAAAATAACAGCCTCAGCAACCAAACAACATCCTGCAAGCATGTAGTTGTGAAAAGAATTGTAATAATTTCAGCATAAACTCCAGCTGCCGAACTTTCTAGGTTAGACAGTAAAGGGTGTGTTGGTGGGATAGCATCACACACAAAGACTTCCAAGGTCATATATATATATATATAAAAGTGGACAGTTGCTTAATAGAAAAAGCGCCAGTGTCCTGAATGGAACCAGAACAATAGGGATAGCTCACATGTGTATCAATGCTACATATATTATCTCATCTGATACTCTCAGCAACCTGATTTAATAGGCTTCAGATGTGGCAACTGAGGCACAGAAAAAAAATTATATGGCAAAGGCACATAATTGATAAGTACTAGACCTGGTGTTGTTCTTTATGTCAGTAGGCTTCAGCATGCATCATCTTAGTCAGTGCCCCATGCTGCCTGTTTTATAAGAATATAGTGCTTTTAAAGCTGCATTTAGTGATTCTGACCAGTGTTCATGTTCTAATGTTAAGAGAACACACAGATAGATTGACACAGATCCACATAATTTTATATGAACAGATACTACTCTCTTTCTCAGGAAACTCATTAAAGAAAAGCATGATTTATAGTTCAGATCAAAGCAGCAAGTTATAAAGGGAGTAAGACAAGCCTCCTATATATTCTCTGTAGAAAGCCAAGCTACTTCACTCTTTTCCAAGGGCAGGTTTCATCAACACAGGGGCTGAGCAGGGACTGGAGGCACACAGGAACATTGTCCTAAGTGAAATCATTGGGCGGTGTGATTGCTAAGACACCCAAAGTGTTTCACTGTGATCATTCCATTTCACTGTAGCCAATCCAGAGAGCTAGTGGCAAGATAAATTGAGAATCCCTTCTTCGTACACATCTTCCTCCACAAATGGAAAAAGTTTTGGATATTTCTTACAGATGTAAGAAAAGCTTTGACCCTGAATATTGTGCATGAAATTATCTCACACATTTGATTTTACATAAAGTATTTTTTAACTGTCACAAACTATTGAATTCTCTTTCCATTCTCTGTAACTCAATATGGGAAACCTGATTAGCTTAACGGTGCTCATGTTCTAAATTAAGATAAAGTTGCTGCCAAGTTCTACAGCCTGGCTAAAAGGAGATAGATAGTTTTGTATATTTTTTATTTGAACCATTAAAAGTTCCACTGGTAAATATTGCAACTTAATATTTAGAGTTTTGTCATTTTGTGCAGCAGCATTAAGCAACAACCTGTACACAGCACATTTTTTGAGTCTATTGCAAATAATTCTATACCTAGCTCCTTATTCTAGGGATTTGTCTCTTAACCTGTATCTTATGGTTTCAGCTTCATTTGGTGCACTGGAATCCAAAGTATAACACTTTTGGGGGAGCTCTGAAACAACGTGATGGAATTGCAGTGGTTGGCATTTTTCTGAAAGTAAGGTTAAAACTCACCTTTTTTCCCCCCTCTCAAAACTTAGTTGCTTATAATGCTGAGGCTAATATGAGTCTTGTTCCTCTCTTGCTTGAGTTGTGTGTACATGTTTTCCTTTCTCTATATACAGGTTATTTTCCATTATGCTAAAATCAGTTCAAAATGTTTTGCTTCCCTCTAAAAGTGCTCCTTCTGCCCTGTTCCAGAATCCCTGGCACTTCTAAATTTTCTCTTGGGATGAGTGTGTATGGAAGGAATTATTGACAAGAGAATTCAAGGGAGCTTGTTATGACAGTGGTGAGGGTGCGAGTGGGGTGTGCTCATTAAGCTTTCCCATTACTCCACTTCAGTTGCTCTAGAAACCAGAGAAGCTGATGTTGGGAACTTCGGGGATGCCAATTGCCTGGCTGGACATCCCCTGTGCTTAAGGTGGCCACCACCCTCATGATCCCGGGCTAAGATAGCACATGGCATGTGTGTGTTGTTCAGCCAGCCTTGGTTTAAAGAGGACTTAGTGTCATTAACACATGAATTTGCTGGTAACATAATCTAGATTTTAAGCCAGAGGTGAAAATCTGGCTTCTTTCTCTTTGAATGACCTAATTCGTTTTATGTTCTGAATTCACTGGATCATTTTCAGTGCATGAAGAACCACAACCCAGAAAGCAAAGTGGGTGTGAAGGGAAAGACAATGAATTTAGTTTCAGATACATAGAGCCCTCTCTAGCTCTAACTCTATTTAAGAAATGCAATGACTTTGCAGAGGTCAAGGACATTGAACTAGATCAGCATGTAATTTTGTGGTTTTGTACTTCAGAGGCCTTGAAGTCTAAGTTTAGATCAGAAAACATGTACTCTAAAATCTTGGGGGGAAAATAAAATTATGTTTTTGTTTCATAAAAGATATTCTGGCAGATTTATGATACTAGTTGCATGTAGATGAATCAAAATCAGTTTTTAAGATAATCTTAAATTATGGAGAAGGGAAAATATTACACTGGATTTCTATTTTTCTTACAGATAGGACGAGAGAAAGGCGAGTTCCAACTTCTCCTTGATGCACTGGACAAAGTTAAGACAAAGGTAAAAGAAAATAATTTTTTCTCCTAAAACATCAGGCAGAGAACATTAATTTTCTTTTTTTTTGCATTATTGAATACTGTACATTTTTAACTTAAACTGTTATTAAGTTTGACAGATATGCTAGGCACAAATATAAATAAGTGACATTATATTTGTGTGTTTTATAGTTTCTGAAGCAATTTCACATACGTTGGTTTATTTCATTGCCTCCTGTCAGATATATTTTCTCAAGGCAGTGGGTGAGAGTCAGAGAAGTTGAATCTTTCGATTCAAAGACTGGGGCAGTTGCCTCTTTCTCTCCTATCCCTGCCTACCTACATACACAGACTCACTGAGGCTCTAAATGCCAGCTAAAGCTGGTGTTTTAAATCCTGGTGTGACTCTTACCAGTAACACCTATCTACTTTAAATCTTAAGAATAGACTCTTCCAATTAGCAAACAAATTTTGGTTGTCTTTAGGACTATCCTAATTAACTATTAACTTTTACCACTAAAAAAGTAATTATTCTAATACAATATTCAATAAAAATGCAAGCCCTTTTGTTATTATTATCAACAACCAAAGCATTAATTTGTATCAGGTACATTTGTTACATTTTAGATATAGTACGAGTTTCCCCTCATGAAACATGGTAGAATTGTAGTTCTACCCATAGTTAAAGTGAAAAGAAATAAATCATGGCAAAGGATTGTGTTGGATAAAGTTAGAATATGTACTCAGCTTTCTGTGTAACCTTTATTTCTGAAAGACTGGACCTTGTTACAAGCTGATTTACTCTATTACCCTTGAAGTCTGGCCCACAAATGAAGGGGTGAGCCCCTTGGGGTGGGCGGCGTGCCTGTTCCGTGTAGGATGCCAGCGCCTGGCTGTCTTCCAGGGCAAGGAGGCCCCCTTCACTCACTTCAATCCGTCCTGCCTGTTCCCCTCCTGCCGGGACTACTGGACCTACAACGGCTCCTTCACCACGCCCCCCTGCGAGGAGTGCATCGTGTGGCTGCTGCTGAAGGAGCCCATGAGCGTGAGCTCCGACCAGGTGAGTTGCAGCCCCGGAGCCTGACGGGTTGGGCAGAGAAAATAGAAAAATTGGAAATCCACCGCTGTCATGGATGCTTGTCCAACAGCTCCTCCTAGAGATCGCAGAATTTACTCTGGTCAATCGCAATCAGCCTGTTCCAGTTTTCTAAATTTTGACTTCCTCCCGAGGGTACTGAGATTAATGCAAATTGAAGAAAAGTGGTCATGCTAGCGACCGAGGACCGACTTTAAGCTACACTTAAAGGTTCAGATTAATAGAACCAAGTCTTTGTTCCTTCGGAGATCCCTGAAATAGTGTGCATTGGTTAGGAGCTGGGGTGGCAAATCCAGACCTAAGGAGAAGGGAACTGGAAAGAAGTTAGCGCCCTTGGGAAGAGTATGTTATTTTTCCAGTTTTAAAGATAAACAAGGTGAACCTTAGAAAGTAAAAGTAACTTATCCACACACTCAGAACCAAGTTCAGGATCTGTTTTTGATAGTATATGGTCTCCCTTCCTCCTGCTCATTTAAAGACTGTCTTAACAACACAATTTTAAAGACAAAGCTGTTTGAGATAAAATAAGTGAGAAGAGACATGAAAAAGACTATATTTAGCAAGTGAACAACACAGGACTCACAACCTAGGACATGAATGTCTCATAGTCAAATCAGTTTACCACTCCGTCTCCCTTGGCTAAGACAGTGGTTTCCCTATTTCTGACAATGTAGACTCGAGAATATAAATTGGCATTTTAATCAAAGAATCAGATCTAATGGTCTTAATCATTGATATAAATATTTTGAAAAAGGAATGAAATTTTCACATGGAGAAAAGCTAAAAACAATTTAATATTGCAGTATAATATTCTTAATAAGAATTTATTATCCTTTAAGAAAAAATCAGTTTAAAATTAAAAATGTAGCATGAAGTATTTCTTCCTCCTCTTTTAAAATTGACACCATAAACTCAATGAAGGCATATGTGTGTGTGTGTGTGTGTGTGTGTAATTTGTCATGCCTTTCTACATAAAGTGTGTACTTCATACCCAACTTCTCAAGTTAAAATAATTGTTTCAGAATTCAAGAAGAAAAGGGTTTGACCAGAGGGCAGATCCTTGAAATGGGAAAGACAGAAGGAGGGAGGAAGGGAGAGAGAGAGAGTGAGAGAGAGAGAGAGAGAGTTAGTTTACAAATTAAAAATATATTCCTCCAGAAGTGGCAGCTGCTTGGGCTGAATGTTACACCCAGTGAGAGAGAACCAACCAGAGACCAATATTAAATCCACACAGGAGTTTATTACCAGCCGGGACCCGAGCTGAGCATCGGATTCAAGCCTCGACTGGGGGTAGATTAACATGTTTTATACACCTTTGAGGCCAGCAGTTTCTAGGCCCCCCTATGGATAGAACTAGTAAAGCAAGCAAAAGGTACAGAAGCGGAACGTCCTGCTTTTAGAACATTTGTGAAACAATAGTTGATTAATTGTTGTTTCTAAGAGACTCTAAGGGGAGGAGGTTTCTAAGCTTCCTCCTTCTGAGTTCATTTAAAGGGCAGGCAGGTGGGTCAAGCAGCAATATGGAGTCTGTCTTGCTAACAAGGGTCCTTCACTGAACACTGGAGATCGGTTTTGTGAAGTGGTCTCTTTGTCCTGTTTGGAGCGCCCGTGATTTCTGACCCTTGGTCGCACCGTGCGTCCAGCAGGCGGAGCGCCTCGCTAACCTGCCGCCCTGTCCTTGCAGATGGCCAAGCTGCGCAGCATCTTCGCCAGTGCCGAGAACGAGCCCCCGGTGCCCCTGGTGGGGAACTGGCGCCCTCCGCAGCCTCTGAAGGGCAGGGTGGTGAGAGCCTCCTTCAAGTGAGGCCGCAGGATCTTGCCCTGTTCAGGAAAGGAAGCCTGCCGGCCGAGAGCGGTGCCTTGCCTCCCTCTGGTGCTCCTCACTCCAAGTCTATTCATCTTTCCACACCCAGAGAGAAATGGGAGAGACCCAGACGCCCGAGAAACTGGTTACTTTTGACAAGAAGTAATACAAAAACACGAATTTCACACTTGATCTTTGTAATAATCATCTTTTCTATAAAGTAGTCTTTCTAGTAAGCTTTCAAAGAAGAAGAAACAGACAGAAGAGTAAAGATACAGGAAAATGGCTATTGAGCACCATTTCTCTGTCATCTTAAATTCACAGAACCTCAGGTTTCCTATGTTCATATTATGCATTGTGCACCTTGCAGAAGTAATGAATGATTTTATTTGTAGGAGCAGAGGTGATGTTTCTATAAATAAGCCAGAAATTAAAATGATTGTAGACACTGCAAATTGAATGTGTTTCATCTCTTAACACCAAGGGGCCCATTATTTATTAAAATTTTAGCTCAGACTAAGGTCACCTGGTTTTGGCTATCAATGAAAGGAAAACACAGTAAGACCAAGACTTTGAAAACATGTGATCCAGCATTTGAATTTCTTCTTCATAGAGATGGTTTTCTTTACCTGAAGCAGGGCCATTTATTTTTTATTTCATTACTTTTATCTTTGCATGCCTGTTAAAATAAAAACTGCCTCTGATGTCTTTCAAATTCAGGGCTGGGATTAAATGGTTCCTAGAATATGAAGGAGTGATTGGTGGCACTCGAAGTAAAAGTAGCTGTACTGATTGATCACTGAATAAAGACATGGATGCAAAAAGACAAAAAGACATGGGGGTTGTGTTTTTGAATGAAAAAGCATTACGAATGACAAAAATTGGACTAAAACTGTGCATGGCAACTTTGTCAATTTGTTTTTAGGCGTGAAAGGTAGGGATAAAAGACTCCAGTTCTAAGACTGTATGCTACATTTCTCAAGGCAATTTGTGAGGGCCACCTGACAAAATTGCAGACAAGAGGAGTGTGTGCCTATATATCAGAGAATTCAAAATATTTCCCAGAAGCTGGGCATGGTGCACATGCCTGTAATCTCAGCACTTGGGAGGCTGAGGCAGAAGGATCGCCTTGAGTTTGAGGCTAGTCTGGGCTATGTAGTGAGTTCAGAGCCAGCCTGAACTGCAAGGCAAGACCCTGACTCAAAAAAAAAAAAAATAGTTCACAGAGTAGGACTCTGGAGTTCAGACCAGTGCAGCAGTTGTGGAATCCAGTCAGGCTGCAGATTTTAGGTCAGTTTTTTAAAATGTATTTTAGGATGACAATGGCCTAACAGTGCAAAAGCCTCTATATTTAGACCTTTAAAACATTTAATATCTTTAGACACAAAGTCTAATTTTTCAGTTAATGGCTTTGATCATTTTTCTGTGCTTCACTGACTAATATGTTGACTACTTAGAAAAGTTTATTAGCAGAAAGAATGAAAATGGGATGTGGCCAGAGAGCCCTGAGATGCTGGAAGTCAAGTCATGTGATGGACTCCTGTGAGGCTAAAGTTATTTAATAAATTACCACTTGGGTGAAGTAAAATCAGGTTGGTCAGTGTGAAGTGGATGTGTTAATTAAATCCCTTGAAATTAAGAGGTGTGGAGTTTTCATCATTAGTGGTAATACACAAGCCGATTCTCTCAGGGTACTTAGCAATGCTTAGTGCACTGTAAAAAATGCACACCATACTCACTCTCTGTGAGGCAAGAACAAATGACCTAATGTCAGTTACAAGTGTTTCTTATTTGAGGACACAGGCAGGGCAGGCTGGAGTTGTTTGAGGGAAAATACTGGATCAAAGGGGGTTGTGTCCCTCGACTGTAAGCTCTGTAACAGCAAGAATGTGAGTTTTGCACACTGACATTCATCTCATTCCCCAATACTGTGTCTGGCACATAATAACTACTCAATAAATATTTGGTGAATAAATGATGTCATAAAGGGGGAATGTAGGACCAATACTCATCTTCCTGAACCACAAATTATTCTACATCTGTAACATTGGTTTTTGCTTATTTTAGTGAGTTTAGGTCTCCTTAGAAATGATCTCATTAGCTTCAAATGGGAGTTTTTCCAGTCAAACATATTTTTTTCCCCAGTCTGATTGCCCATGTTCACAATGATCTTCCAACTTAAAATTTCCTCCCAACTTCTCCCAGTCCTCAAAATGCTGTGCCACTATAGATGTCCATCGGAATGCTGAAGACATATTTGTGTCCATATTTGGAGGGGGAATCATTTTCCTGGTCAGGCACAGGCACCCAAACAGTTGCACTTCAGGCATCCTCAGCCTACAAAGGTCATGGCCAGGAGCTGCTGTGGGGAAGGCGCTCCAGCATTTGGCAATGTTTGTTCCTCAGGGTGTACTGTATGATCACTGCTGGAATCTTAAGATTTCAAAGTAGGGCAGCAACAAATTTGAATGCAGTGTTTCATAATATTCATATATTTGAAAGCCAAAAATGGGGCAGTATCATCATGACTTTATTGATTATAAGGTATTGTTTCATTTTGAGGGCAGAAATATACTATAATTCCTACCACTTTAAGTGGAAATAGTGATATATTTATGAAAAGACAAATAATGATTCAGGGCCTCTGATGAAAAATGTTTAAAATGTACAATCAATGAAATTTTATGCAGATGGATGGGAAGTAGTCTATATAGAACATGAAAAAAACTAAGTTTTTAAATGTCTGTAACCATTTATATAATCAAAGAAATATAGTTAAGATTAACTATAAACTGTAGATACATGTGAAAATGTAATGTCAATTATCCTAATAAGAATTGACACACACAAAAAATTGGTCTAAAATAAATACATGTGATACACAAATATTAAACACCACAGCTATTGAAGATGAGTTACAACAGAGTCCACCAACAAAAATGTATACACACTTGAGCAGTTCGCTGTGCTAATTGTCTGGAGCTAATGGACACCACTTCGAGCACCTGTCTGTAACTGTAGAGGCCAAAGGTAACTTTTATTAATCTCATGATGTCTCAATAAATTTAGTATTAAAATATTTCTAAAGTTTTTCTTTTTCTGATGCATACTTTTTTGGGAGACTATTTTCTCTTCTAATGCTTTCTTGATTGCTATGAACATAGTATTTAGCATAGGAATAATAAGCAAGAAAAGGTGAGAAAAATGATAACTGTGTGTGTCAAACTTTAAATTTTTAATGTATGCAAATAAGGCAGTACAGTACTTAGAGGTTTAAAGTCCAAATGAGAAGGCACAATCATGTTTGTATATTGTTTTTCATTTCGGTCACTAGATGGCAGCAAAACATGTTAAAATTTCAAACGAGTCACTGGGTGGCACCAAAAGAATTATGAAGATGAAGTTAAAAACCCTGCTGTGTATATTCACCGTAATTTCAGAGCAATGCATTTTAAAAAACTTTTTGAACTGACGTCTTATTTTCTCTTCTCAAACGTTTTACTGTTATCCATTAAAATATATCTACAAAAGAAAAGATAGTGAATTCTTAGATATTTCTGAGAATCTTAATAGCCAAAAATGAGACCTGAGGGGCAAAAAGATAGTAGTAGGTATTAAAGTCAAATTTAAATAAATGAAAAGTGAACTTTTAAAAGTCGTGTTCATATTCAGAAATACTGGGTTGAAGCCACACAGCACTTGATAGATACAAGGCCTCAGGCACATTAATTTTTAAGAGCCTGTCTCCTCGTCTGGAAACAAGAATGATAATAGTGCTTGCTTAGAGAGCTATTTTGAGAATTAAATGAGTTAATACATAAAACCATTTATAATAGTCATTCTGACATATAACTCTCAATAGGAGTTAACTTGTATCTTTTGTAAGTTAATTTTACTTAAACCCAGAAAAACTCTAATGCCTTATTTCTATACTTAAAATTATGTTTTTTTAAATATACTTATTTGTAACATCATGAATCCACACCTCATCTATTCAGATTGTGTTGAAAGAGTTATTATAATGGGCTCACTTCTACTAACTGGGGGACAACAGTATTTAAAAACACCAGTGACAAATCTTGTTCCGTATATGTAACAAGAAAACCAAGATGTGGCCACATGAAACTAGTACATTTCTGGAAGAAGAGATTCGGAAGATCAGAGATGTTTTCCTGATAAAGCTTCTGTCCCAGGATTTCTGCACCTTACCTGAGGAAGTGTTCAATTATCAAAACATCCAGAAAATAAACCCAAACGGAGAAATGGGAGAACCATAGTGTTCATTTTGTTCAGTGTTGACTTCAAATGTGAATGAAACCGAGTCCCTTGGAGTGTTACATAAAGTGGAAAATCTACCTCAATAAGGAAATACAGAAGGCTATTAAATTAATTTTGAGCTTGCTTGGGCATGCCATAAAATCACAATGGTGGATAGGATGCACAAGTCACATCTGGGAGAAGGGTTTATACTTTTGGGGAGATTCAATTCCAATAGAACCAAAGGAATAAGACAACCTAGGCATAAAATCCACAATCAAGGGATGGACTACAGAGATAATGAGCTGCTGTTGATGTGAAGGTGTTTAGTAGATGCAGCCACCTGACAACTTGACTAGGTAGATAATCACAGGTAATCAGCAGGAGTAAGAGTGAGTCTAGCGTTGCAGTCACAGGGGACCAGATGCTCTGCAGTGGCATAAAACCCAGTGATTTAAAAGCTAATTTTAGCCAGGTGAGAATCAACTCTGTGCAGTAAACAGGGGATCAGATTCTCCCTTGTATTTAAGTCATTCCCAGGTAGAGGAGCCTGAAACCAGGGAAACTATTTCCACCATTAAATGTACATTGTCCCGGTTCCAACTTGCCCACAAATTTCTATCATACTCATTTGAAATTTGGATGGTTCCAAATACATTTGTTCAAGAGAAAGCATTCCCTAAAGGGCTCCCAATTCCCATGGAAGTATAATACAAATGGAAGAGTTTGAAAATACAAGGCTCATAGAATTCAGTGCTCCACTGGGCATTAATCAGTTTAAAGGAAGACCTAGTGCCATGAAAGGGAGTTGATTGTGTCAAGACCCCAAAAGGGTCTTTACAATTTGGTAATAAATGAACTTGGGTTCTTGCTCTGGGTACTAATTTAGGAGTTATAAGAATACTTTTAAATTCTATGGGTAATGAAAGTTGGTGTGTGTGTGTGTGTCTGTGAGAGAGAGACCGAGATAGAGAGAGAGAGACAGAGAGATATGAATTGTAGGAGCAGTAACATTTTGTTTTTATTTTTCATTAGTACATGTTTGCAGTACATTACTACAGTCCTTGTGGGCAGCTGATACATGTACCTAACACATCTTAATTCTTTTTCATCCCTTTCCCTTTTCCTCCCTCCTCTCTGTCCCCATCTCTTGATCCCCTACTTATTTGAGAAAGTTTTTATTTTGATAAAACTTTACTTTCTCAAATGCTTGATCTCCCTTTTCCATGTTGCCTTACTTTTCTCAGTAGTAACTTCTCCATTTCATTCATTTTTGTGTGAAGATGTTAATTTAGCAATTCCACCTAGGTAATAAAGAATACGTTTCTCCTTTCAAATGCTTATTTCATGGTAAGATATTAGCAAAATATCATACTTTTAAAAAGTCAATAAGCATTTGTAACTGATACTTGTTATTCCACCCCAGGAAGTAGATGGTAAATATCCCACTCGACACAAAAAACACAGACATATACACCACCTATATACGTTCGGATACTTGTAATTACTACCTAGACTTCACTTTTTAATATAGATGAGAACTGTTTTTAAAAAATCTGTTTTGCCTCAGAAAAT